TTTGCCTTTATTTCTGTCATGCCTGCAAAATTAATCCGAGCTGTAACCCCTAATAAAGTAAGGAGCAGCAGAGACAGAATAGTGTGAGACCTTATTAGCACTGAGCTCTCATCAAGAAATAAAGAGGTAATTTACAAAGTGGTGTCTACATCACCACGCCTAATTTCTACCGTGCATTGGTTTTCCAGTGTTCAGTGACATTATACTTTAAAGAGAACCTGTCACAATGGCACATCCAAGGCCCTAATGCAGTGTTGGAAGCTGACATAGCAGATTCCCAAAGCATTAAAAACAGTGACCGCCTGCCCTGAACTATTTCTGGGGTTTGGTTACAGCAGTTCTCGGTAAAGTGCTGCATGACATGTGATACCAAATTCGAATTATTTACACATCAATTCCAAAACTCATTTGATTAAGCTCCTAATGTTCATAAAGGGCAAGGCTACATCTAAAGAAATAGCATCTTGTTATTCGCTTCATTACACTGGGGAGCCCCCATCCAGCTCTACACTGATCATGTGTTGTCAGCAATGCACTAAGATAGGCACAGACTAGGCAGAAGTGCATCTGTGACTGCCAAGATTTGATTAATCACTAACCTATTATGAACACTAGAGAATAATAAAAATGATATATTAATGCAAACTAAACCTAGTGTGCTGTTAACCATCTCTCCCCCGCCGTGGTTTTCGGGGTCCCCTGCTCTTCCGGGGGACCCCAGACCAGAGCAAATTGCATCAGGATGGGGCAGGGGGCAGAGCAGACTGTTAGTTCTACCGACTGCTTTGTGTGAACAGTGAGACAGGAAAGCTGTACTTACAACCTTCTTCTCTCAGCTGTCACAGGAGAGCCAGCACAGTGCTGTGCCGTAAAGAGAACCTGTCACCTACAAATGCTATCACAATTTGTTTTGGTTTAGTTTGTTAACTTTATTGCTATCACACAGAAGCTAAGAGGGAAAAACAAAGTTAAAGAAAGTAAATACGATAAAGTAAAAAAATAAATAAATTTAAAAAAATTAAATTAAAAATGATTAACAATGTGTATTAAAGGGTAAATTAACTTTCCCAAGAAATTTAGGATGATGGAAATACCCGCTCAAATCTGACCCCCTACTTACCTTCTGGCGTAAGGTCCTTGCCCTCCGACGGTACGGGTGTACTATCCGTACCCCATACTGCCAGGCCAGTGCCATGGATTTTAAATTTTGCTCGCAAATTGTGAGCACTCGGTCAGCGAGGTCACTTGACCGCACAGACCAATGAGAAGCGCTTCTTAGCACAGTTAAATACGGTTTTGGTTAAAATTATTTGTATCAGGAAAAGTAGATTGGGCCCTCACTTAAGTCATTGGTCAAGTAATTTAACATTTTCTTTTATTTCCACACTCCTGAACAGGTACACACAAAGTAAATTTCGGCTGATTCAGGGGGAATCTGATGAAATGCAGTCCGTTGGTGACCCTGTACCCTCAAAAGAAGTCGATGATTAGATTGACTTTTGCCAAAGAACATGTTAGAAAACCCCCAGCCAACAGTGCTTGCAGCCAATCAGCTGCAGCCATCATTTTGGGTATTCTGCCAGCAACAAAGCACACGGGAGATTCATTTATCCATGCTGTTCAATGTGGATGGAGGAATTCAGCCTGCAGGTTGAATGAAAAAAAAGATGGATATCTCTATCTATACATAAGCGTGTACACCTACTATACCAGAGCGGGCAGTCTTAAACAGTCACTGAACTTGAGGACAGTTTCTACTATGCAAGCAAATCCTGCCTCTTGTGACACTGAAGTAGGGCTGCAGCTAACGATTATTTTCATAATCGATTAGTTGGCTGATTATTAAGTTCGATTAGTCGGTTAATCGGATAAAAAAAAAAAAAAAAGGCATACACTGAAGCAGTCTCGGGTAGCCTCTTGTGACACTCGGCCAGTGTCAGACAGTCTTATTAAACTTACAAGAGGTGACTAACAGTCTCTACAAATACTTCAGCAGCTTCTAGAAGTCGGTTGTAATGAGCACAGTTAGATTAAAAGAAAGATGGCAAATTTAGCCCCACCCAGACCTTGGCACAGCCCATGACAAACTGCTTCCCCACATATTGATGTCTCTGTAAACGCAGGTCGTATCAGCAGGGTGAACAAAACCCCCCCAAAAAAACCCCCATCTGTGTTCTTGTCTCAAATCCACTATGATCCAATTTGCCTCCTGACCACCGATATCTGCTGGTGGAAAATTGGGGTCTGTGCCCCCCATGCAGACATTTGCCCTCTATATGTTCTGATAACAGTCACCAAGACAGGAAGTGATGGGACGGCCAAGATTCGAGGCCCAATTCACACCAGCCTGGTCCTCTGCACTGCATTAACTGCATGTGCGTTGTTAGGACAGCAATCCATTGCAATGTGTTCCTAATGCACCGCAACAGGCTAGAGGTTATGTATGCCGCACTTACACAGGGCACGTTAGTGTGCTATGCTGCAACACAAGTGTGCTGTGGTGTGTTGGGGTGCCATTTAGAACAAACAGCAGGGCGTAACACCAACGCATGTATTGGTACATGGTATTGCTGCCCAGTGGTGGGAACGGGTCCTTACAGGAAGTTAGCATAAATCTTCCAATGAGGACACCTATCTGACTAATGCCTGAAGGTGGGCATACATGTACTGAAAAGGACTTTACTACCACCTGAAATTAGAGTTGCACCGAAATAGAAATTTAAAAACCGAAACGAAAACTGAAATTAAAAAAAATTGTCAGGCAAAACCGAAAATGTTTTTATTTTTTTAAATATTTTATTTTTATTTTAAAAGATAAAAATGTACCGGTGTCTCCACCGCTCTCTCCCAGCTGAAGATCTGAAGCTTCTGGAGCGGCCGAGCAGGATGATGGGGCGGGCACATGCACAGTAGAGATCTTCGGCGGGGAGAAGAGGAGAGACACAGTGGAGGTGAATGCATGCAGCCGTGAGCTTGCACATCAGACCGACACCGTGGGACCCAAGGAGTCTATTAGTGGCTTTGGGGACATATTAGTGGTCTAAACAGACCCCTGATATTTCCCTTTTAAAATAGAAAAAGAGATTGAGAACGCAAAGTCCTCAATCTCTTTTTCTGTGTCCCCTGTTATCAATGAACAGGAATCCTCTGAGTGTTCCTGCTTATTCATAACATGAGGGCATAGTATGTTTACTATAACTATAATTATGAATGAAGAGGTGATGTAGATCATTTCCTATTCATTCATAATTGAGGATATAGCCAACATACCATGTTCTCAATTATGTACAAACACTCGGCGATCACTGAATGTTTGTACCGCGCTCTCCTCCGACACGCGGGAGGCTAAGCGAGCGGTGCAGGGAGGAGAGCTCAGCCTCCTGTGACATCACTGTCTCCGCCCCCACACCGCTCTGCCGCACTGTGATAGGCGGCAGAGCGGTGTGGGAGGAGAGACACCGGCCGCTCACAGCGCTCTTGTCCCGCAGCGCTCGGCCGTCACTTTCTCTCCTCCCGCTGGGACACAGAACTTCCACGACGAAACCCTAAATTATTTCAGGTAGGGATGCACCGATCTATATCGGCCGAAAATGGCACTTTTGGCTAAATGCCGACACAGTGTCACTTTAATGTAGGGGCATTCATTTCATTTTTGTAAAAGGTGTACTATTCCATGAAGTCAGGGGTGGGCAAACTCCAGCTCACCACCTGTGTTGAAACTACAAGTCCCATGATGCATTTTTGTTAATAGTTAAAGTAGAATTAAACTGCCCCATTTTTTTCTGCATATATCTACTGCTAGCAAGCGGTAGATGTATGCAAAAACATTTAAAGATAAAAATGTACCGGTGTCTCCACCGCTCTCTCCCAGCTGAAGATCTGAAGCTTCTGGAGCGGCCGAGCAGGATGATGGGGCGGGCACATGCACAGTAGAGATCTTCGGCGGGGAGAAGAGGAGAGACACAGTGGAGGTGAATGCATGCAGCCGTGAGCTTGCACATCAGACCGACACCGTGGGACCCAAGGAGTCTGCGATGATTCGGAGACCGGCACCAGCGCTGGATGGATTGCGGAATACAAGTGGAAGGTGATGTCCGGATCAAGAGGCATCATTTTAAGGTAAGCCCTGAAAGCAGCTTTGGGGGGGGATTTGTGACTTTAATGTCACCTTAACTCCTGAGTTTAGTGTCACTTTAAGGAGATATCGGCAATGGCGCTCTCCATACTTCCTACTCTGGAAGTTTTATAAAGTAAAGGTTCATTGTCTTCTGAAAATATGGCTGGATTTCAAGTTTCAATACTTTCTGAATTCCCAAACTGGAACAACTGCAGATTAGGAATTCTGACGTCACTTTTTCTAGGTAGTAACTAGTATTTTCAGCCCACATTGCTTCCACGACGAAACCCTAAATTATTTCAGGTAGGGATGCACCGATCTATATCGGCCGAAAATGGCACTTTTGGCTAAATGCCGAAAGTGCAATTTTCCTGCCGATACATCGGCGCATCCCCGATTTCTCTCCTCCCCGCCGGGCGCTGTTCTGTTTTTGTAAAAGGTTTACTATTCCATGAAGTCAGGGGTGGGCAAACTCCAGATCGCCACCTGTGGTGAAACTACAAGTCCCATGATGCATCTGTCTCTAGGAACCATGCCTCTGGCTGTGAGAATCTTGCAGTGCCTCATGGGATTTGTAGTTCCACAGCAAATGGAGGGCCGGAGTTGCTTTAAATGAAGGGAAGCCATGCCTGGCCAGCCTCTATCTCCACAGTGCAGGAAGTAGGAGCCCAGCCTGTGACCAGCCCAGAATCACATGCAATGTTACAGGTTGTTCCGCTCCATTACCTACACATAGAACGCTCCATACTCCCAATATGTCCGCACAGCCTGTATAGAGAAATACATGAGCCAGGAATCAGGAAGTGCTCTGCTGTGTACAATACGAAGCACCCAGTGCTCCTAGGGAATGGTATCATGTCATATCAATGCCCAAGCTCAGTACCTTGCTGCCATCGCCTTCCTCCACCGTCAGAGAAGCCATGCTGCTGCGGAACGGCTCTGTGCACCTCCCCGGGACAGCCGCCTTCTCACTGGGACGTTTCCTGACTTGGAGCGCCTGGACTCCACCGGCACCCAACTCCACGAAAGCCACACCCACATCTTCCATCTGTCACGCCCAAACGACTTAGTAACCACGCCCCTGTTTAGAGCCCACTGGCCTCTATATAGCCACGCCTTCGTTATAGCGTAAATTAGGGTGTAGCCCAGCTGCCGCTGACAGTTGACCACGCCCTCTATTTCCATAAGAGCCGCCAGACAGCGCCCACATAGACATTCTCCGCCCATGTGACTGGGAGGGCATTTCACTTTCATGGCGCTGCCATTCTCCGTCGTGTTTGCAGAAGAATTCATCAAAAAGCAGCTTATATAATTCACTGTTTTGCTATTGCCATTACACCGAGGTCGTAATGGAGATAACAACCTACGATTGACACATTGGGTGATAAGAGGGGGAACTGTGAGTGAAGGAGTGGAATTTCATGACATAAGGCGACAATACACATTACAATCTGACCATACAAGTGTTATACAATCAGTTTTAGTCTCACCGCACATGATGCAATCTGACCGTACGAGTTTTGTACAATCAGTTTTAGTCTCACTGCACATGATACAATCTGACAGTACAATCTTTGTTCAACCAACTGTAGAGTTAGGCTAGGTTCACAAAAAAACGTATGGATGGCAGTGTGGTCATAGAATCGCACACCACCGCCGATCGCGCTGGCGGTGCCATTATTTTCTAATGGCACCCCAGTCGCACCAGGCAGATTGCACGGTTTACCGCTGCACTACCACCCATGCAATCACGCATGATCTCGGTTGAAAAAAAATATGCAGTGCATGTCACAAAAAAGGTATATTTTTTTTTCCGGGTCAAATGTATCAGAATACCACATTATGGCCACTAGGTGGAGCTGGGGGACATATGGCATAAGTATTTATGTCTTATGGTTCTTAGCTCCATCTAGTGGCCATAATGTGGTATTTTCCCGATACTACATTTGACCTGGAAAGAAAATATACTAATAATGTTTATTGGTGCCTCCATTTACACAGAACGAGTGTACACGGAGTTTCACAGGATGAATGGCTTTGTGATTTTTAACATATACATCCATTATTGGTTTAAAACTAACACTAATCAAACTTTAAAAAAAGGAAATATTTTTGTCATGTTACATCTGCATACAGGTGTGAGAGCTGAGCTGGTTGTTAGGTATCTGATCTCATTTACTCTGAGATGGATACATTATTTTGAGGTATTTTATTTAATGTAACATTAAATGGAAATTATGTGATGATAAACTGCAAAGTTCTAAAAACAGTTGTGTAGGATATGTCACTTTCATAAATATTACATTCAAGTATCTCTAAAGCACAAACTTTTTTGAAATTTCGTTTTGTATAGAGTAGGTAAAGGTTAAAACTAGGGATGCACCGATACCGATATCAGTACCGATACTGGGCAAGTACTCGTGATAATGCCCCGATACTTCAAGCCAATACCGGCCCTTTACATTTTTAAATGACTTCAGCTGCCTTAAGGTCCCCCGCTTGCTGGGGACCTCGTGGCGGCTGTTTACAGCTCTGGTCCGGCCGAATATCTCCTCCTCCTTCCCACCGCCTGCACAGCCATGAGGAGATCGCAGCTGCCCGCACAGCCATAGTGAGACCCGTATGCAGCCCAGGTGAGACCCGTACGAAGCCCTGGTGAGACCCCCACACAGCCCCGCACATTGCCCTGGTCAGATCCCGCACAGCCCTGGTGAGCAACAGAGTAGGTGGCTTCATATTTTTCTCCATTGCTGTATAATGTATTGCTTGGATTTGTAGTCCTCTATAGCTGGTAATATTCTGTATTGCTTGGATTTGTAGTCTCTCTACAGCTTGGAGTTGGTGGCAGAACTACCAGGCTTGCAGCTGTACTGGAGCTCCACCACTGTCCTAAAATTGAGTCTGTATTGTTTTAGAAAAACTGTCACGACAATAAAAAAAAAAGGTATCAGCAATTGGTATCGGCGAGTACTTGAGGAAAAGCATCGTTTCTCATACTAGGTCTGGAAAAAATGGTATTGGTGTATCCCTAGTTTAAACCTCTGTCCCAATAGGGAAATATTCTTTCACTTCTCATACCGTAGACACAACAGGAAGTTAAAGTCATAATCCCAAGTCAGGGAGATCTCTTAGGCAGTTGTTACCACAAGTGCCCCCATTTAAACATTACCTCTCTGTTCCTGTTTGGGTGACAACACATACTTTTGGATTTTCCTTTACTTTCTGTTTTGAGAACAGTGGTCACCAGTACACAAAATGAATCTGTGTAAGACGGAAGTGTGGGCTCTCTGTTCTGAAGTGTCTGGAAAGGCTGAGTGTTTTTTCTGACTCGTTCCTTTCTATGTGTAGATATCACCGCGATCTGTGCATTTCTGCAAATAACCGGCTTTTTATTACATTTAGGAACAGAGAGCAATTCAAAGAGTCAAGAGCGCCGCCTGCTGGCCAGACAATAGACAATAGCTCAGATTGCTGAAATAATTAATGCTGGTTCCAATTAAAAGCTGTCTGAACACAGTTCATTGCAGTTTGTTGCGTATGGGGCTGTGTAACCATCGTGGGCATCAGAACCAGACCACGGAGTAATGGAAGCGGTCTTGCTTTGATGAACCATGTTTTCTTTTACATGGTGTGGATGGCCAGTTGCATGTGTGTCCCTTACCTGGGGAAGACATGGCACCAGGATGTACTTTGGGAAGAAGGCAAGCCGGCAGAGGCGGTTTGATGCTTTGGGCAATGTTCTGCGGGGTAAACCTTGGGTCCTGCCATTCATGTGGATGTTACTTTGATACTTACCAGATACCTAAACATTGTTGCTGACCAAGTACACTTCTTCGTAGAAACGGTATTCCCTGATGGCAGTGGCCTCTTTCAGCAGGATAATGGGTCCTGCCACACTGCAAAAATGGTTCTAGAATGGTTTGAGGAACACAACAAGTTTGAGATGTTGACTTGGGCTCCAAATTCTCCAGATCTCAATCCAACCGAGCATCTGTGGGATGTGCTAGAAAAACAACTCCAATAGAGGCCCCATCTCGCACCTTACAGGACTTAAAGGATCTGCTACTGGTGGCTGAGTCCATGCCTCAACGGATCAGGGCTTTTTTTTTTTACAGCAAAAGGGGGACCTACTCAACCTACCTTCCTCAAATTAAGTGACTGCAAAATATAGAATATTATAGTACTTTTGTATATATTTTTTTCCCTTTTTTTGGTCAGGAGAAAAACACAACTTTTTTTAATAATATAAATGACATTTAAATACTAATAAATTGCATTTATTTTATAAATTAGACATGTGCGATTAGTTTAGTTCCGAATCGAAAGTCGGACGAAATTTCGGATGTATCTGAATTCCGAATTACACAGATAATAACGAATGCAAATGAATCTGAATTTCCAATTCCGAAATTAGTTAGCAGTAGTCTGTACGCATTGTCGTTTCGTTCCTTGCATATGAAAAGTATTATGACACCTCTGCTCACGGACCCGAAGGTCATTCTGGAGATCACGAATAGCTTTCTTCAGTGACTGAAGCAACAAACGAAACGAAAATTCGTTCAGACTACCGCTAACGAATTTTGTCGAATCACGAAACGAATTGACTTTCGGACCCGAATAGCGAAATAAAGCAAAATCCGAATCAAAACGAAACAATGTTTTTCCCGGTGCACACGTCTAGTATGAATGATAAATATTTAGTACGGATTATGAATACATTTTCTTATGCAGCCAGCAGGTGGCGCTCTTGGCTGTCAGTCCTGTTCCAGTACAAACAAGTGTACTTAAAAGCATAGGCTACCTTAAAAAACATATTCATAAACAAAACAAAAAATGCACATTTACTATTTTTTGCATTGGAGCTAGTAAAGCATTGCAAGCAAGATCACTGTATTGTGGGTGTGATGCTCTGGCCCCTGCAGATCCTCCCTCCTGTCACTTTCTGTAACATTTAGTAACAGGGACGGGAGGAAGAATGAATGGATGTGATCATGTTTCATTGTTACACCTTGAATATGGGTGTAACTGTCTAAAAGGCAAACTTAGCCTTTAATCTTTTTCTCATTCTCCGAATTCTCTGAACACATTTTCAGTCCTTTGATGGAAAAAGTAAGCTTAGACTTTTAGATTCACAACAGAGACTCAAATGCTAAAAGACATTTTCCTAAACTTCAAGTAAGTACACTATTCCAAGCCAGACTCCAGCCGAAGCTTTTCTTTTTTTTAAGATTTGGATCATGTAAGTAGGCTTAGAATTTCTGCCAGGTCCCCACTGCCCAATGAAGACTCAGACAGCGATAAAACACTAGCAACGATTCTAACCCTTACCCACTCGATTACAAGGAAAGCAGAGAGAGAGTTGGGATTTATGTTTTCACTTGTTTGGTTATATTTTCGTTATTAGAGTTCATGAGCAGATCTGTAGATTCTTCCTTTAGTACCTTTAGTTTTGCACAGAAGGCGATAGGGGACTTTTAAATGAAAGTTTTGTAAGTAAATATTTATTACTACAATCCTAAAAAACAAACACTATTCAATCCCTCAATGGGATAATTGTACTTTATAATAGTGGGCTTGTTCATGTTCCACATCGAGTTCATATTGAGCACACTATTATCACACTTACAACATTCATGAATCTCTTTAAAGGGATATCAAAATGAAAGTTGTCCTGCAATGCAGCAATAAAATTTGCCAAGCGCTTCTAATGAAGCTAAGGAGATGCTCACAACATGATTTAGGATCATCTGCTGCCTCCTGTGTCCCCAGCAACTGTTCAATTTATATTCTTTAGACACCATCCAGGCAATGGAGAATGGCCTACATAGACCCTTATCATTGCTGTAACTGAATTCATCAATTGGCTGGAGACTCATACCGGTCCTTTGTTACATTCAGTAAGACACTTCATCCATTTACATTTCATTCATCACTAAATTTAAAGAATAACTCTACTTTTGGATAGCTGTCCTTTAAGTTACCCCCACCTCCCCATATCCCAATTTTATACTCGCCTGTCAACACTTTAGCTAACCCAACACTGTGCTGCCCCTGGGGAGCAGCACAGCCACTGCAGGAAACACTCCGGCTGGTCCTTTACTATGTCTACAAATGCATGGAGAAATCAAATTAATTCCTATGGAAAGGTTGTCTACCATTGGGAATAAATGGAATGTATGCTGCAAAGTGAAGGACCAGCCCGAGTTCTCACAGAAGCTGCTTCCCATAAGCCATACAGTGTTGATTTGAATGGAGCATGGACCTGTGAGCATAAGGCTTTGGGGTTTCTGGAGGGTGGGAGAGGATCCCTTAAAGAACAACCACACAAAAGTATAGTTATCATTAAAGAAAGCACAGCTTCCAGTGACCTCTTTCAGTTATATAATGTATGCAGGCATATAGATTAAAAATAGGTAACGTTAGGCACGTAATATTTGAATGACAGAGGTATTTCTGAGACCTTAAGCCTGGACTCTGGGCTGGTATGGAAAAAAACAATATGCACTCATTAAGCAAAATCATTACATTCAATTTTGAATGCAACTATTGTAATGGTGCTGCCACAGCTTCATGTACCCCCCAGTACAGCAGCAGAGGGAGAGGGAGGGCCAGTATGTTGCACTATTCAGTTTCCCGTTCAGTGCACATGTGCTGGTAGTAAACATGCTGACAGGAGGAACGAACACAGTAAACCAAGGGATGAGCTCAAGCAATTCATCCCCACACAGCTACCTCCTCACGTATCACTTGCCCCTCCCTTTTAGATTGTAAGTCCTTACGGGCAGGGCCCTCCTTACCATCTTGTCTTGTGGTTGTATTGTCTTCCTTATATTGTAAAGCGCTGCACCAACTGCTGGCGCTATATACATCCTGTATAATAATAATAATAATGAGCTCTCTACTGTGCTATTGCTCTTAATTGCTCCATCAGTAGGTTGTGGGGGGATGTTTTATAAGCAAGTTTTGCTTTGCAACTGTTGTGGTGAAGGTTGAGACTCCGTCTGTGCTGTATGTTTGGGGTACCTGCATCACAGGACTGGCTGTAAAGATATGAAAATCCTTTGGCAGATATAACAGATCGCATTCAACGGTGTGTTTAGCTGCTTGCCTGAAGTTCAGGTTTAGCTTTCACCTCATTCATATATCTCACATTTCTATATAATGATACACACAAGGTGGCTATACCGGAACAATCTGTTTTGCTACTAATATCATGATTCGAAAAGATTTTCTTGACCTCATTTTGTCTCTTTCGTGTGATTATACATATGGACACAGCAGGCGATATACCTAATGGAGCACACCATCAAAAGGAACTGGAATCTAGAACCTGTGCCTAAAAAAAGCAGGCAGAGGGCAAATAACTATCCGCTTCTGACCCTACCCATTTCTGACTTACCATGTGTTGTGCTACACTGTACAACTGTATGGAGGAGACTATCTTGGGAGAGGTAGGAATTTGCTTTCCGCATGTCAAAGCCTCCAGCAAGGAGCACAGTAGCAACATCATTAATCTCATTAGACTAGCATTAGAGGCAGCAGTGCCTTAGATCTCATTGTGTAGATATACAGTTAGGAGGCTATAGGCACAGGAGTGCCTAGGCACACTAACATACCAGGAAGCGCACTGCTATTTTTCAATAAGAATTCAAGAATGTAGATTTTGCAGGGTACAGCTTAGGCACAATTACCATTTCTAAATGTTTCCTATAACATCGCAAATCTTCACGTTTATAAGTTCAAGTCCACTTTAACATTGCCATTCTGTACACTGCATGATGCAGTTATAAAATCTTTCCTGTTGCCACATTGATATCTATTTTCAGTCTTATAAATGTTCCCACATTCCAACATGAGCATCTTCAGATATATTACACTGTCCGTGTTTTAACAGAAATACAATATGAACAGTTGTTCCTAAGCACTGTTCAGTTGGGTAGCCGGTTTTAGAAAAGAAAAAAAAAAAGGAGTTCACAAGCGTCTTCACGAAAACATAATCCATGTGTCATCACCTTCGCAGACGCAGGAAGAAGGCATGTTTGCACTCCTTGCTGTCTATGGGGAAGTACTTGTCATAGAAATCAAGGATGTACTCTTGTGTCTTGAATCCAAACTTCTGGTAGAGCAACATTGCTGGGTTGTTTGCAGACACGTGTAGAGTAACGTCCTTCCCCATACAGGTCTGTTAGAAAGAGTTTTATAAAAAACAGACCATGAGAAAATAGCCCGGGGTGCTGGAACACGCAGTGAATGAGAACACACAGTAATCACACATTTCACCAATATTTTTGTTTATGATATATAGATTCACCTATTGCGTAATTTAGTCCTTTTCCTCTACAATTCTCCTATGTCACATTTTTCTACCCATAAAGTTAAGTCCCACTTTAAGGGCCCATTCTCATCCATGTGGTGCGTTAAGGCAGCCCATTCATTAAAAGGGGCAGCTTAAAGAACAACCTGTGCCTCGGCGTCCTCATGTCTAATACAGTGCACTTCAGATCACAGAAGTGGAGGGGGAAAGAGGCTTTGGGATCTAGCAGCCAGGCGGGATCAAGGTTCGGGTGAGTATATCCATTTTTATTTTACACCTTAGACAAATACAAGCACTTAATCCTTGCACTGAAGCGGTAGCCCCACTGCAAGAGTTACATTTTATTTTGCCTGGAGTTCTCCTTTAATGCACTAAAACACACAAAAATAAAAAAATTTTATAGCAATACATGACTACGCATGGTGCGTTGAGTTGCCAATCAGAATAAATGGCAGCAGCACAAACTGTATACAATTCATCAGCACGCTTTAGTGTAATATAACACTGTAAACCACTACAAGGAGATTTGTAGTGAGAGAAATATGTTGCCTGCTATTGATGATCTCTTCTGACAATGCTAGTTGCCTGGCTTTGATGCTTTAAGCATTGGATTGACCTGGGACAAGTATGCAGATCAAGAGTTTTACTTCACTTGCCTCATGCTTGCTCTGGGTCAGTGACTCCAAAAGTGTTGAAGGCAGAGGCCGCCAAGCATTAAGCACCTTTACAAGGAGCTCCACATTTAATGAGCATTTATTTATTTCAATACATGTTTCCTTTAGGTTTTTGCAAAAAGGTGTTGCTGGTTTATGATATAGGACTATTACATCAATAGAAAAAGGGCTTGTAAAGGGGGAAGAATGCTGTTGTTGCTGTGCTGCGGCTACTACTAGTCACTGCATAGAAAGTATTCTGGTTCTGGTGGACATTTTGCACATTCACATTAAAAAAATAATTAGATTAGGGGTAGGCAACCTTGGTACACAAGCTGTTGTGTAACTACAAGTCCCATGAGGAGTTGCAAGATTGGCAGCCACAGGAATGACAGAATTTGTAGTTTCACCATAGCTGGAGTGCCAGGGTTGCCTACCCCCAGTCTAGATAGCGTGTCTGGGAAAATATTATTTACCTCAGAGACTGGATGGGTAAAGTGACATTGTCTGCTGATAGCCCATCTTCTCTAGGAAGTTATACTCGCTAATCCACGTTCCCTTTGAAGCCTCTCTGTTCCGTTGGAGCCCTTGGCTCATTGCTCTAATTGAACAGGGTTTCCAAGTATGGGGAAACACTTGACCTCCTCTATGGGACAGTTCCCGTGCATGAGTGGCCAATCGTCAGCCCTGAATACAATCACATAGGGAGAGGCAGTGATGTCATCCACCCTGGTAGGTTCTGACACCATGTTACATTAGAGCTTACCCTGGCTGGACTCCGGCACCAGAAAGGTGGTGAGGGAGTGTGGCTGGTTAAGATTACCTTGCTTGGGAGTGGAAGCTATCAGGAAGGACTGTCACCTTGATCTGTGTGAAATCATTTTAAGGTCAGGACCTTCTGCAGCTCACAATAAAAGAAAAAATACACAAGGCACATTTCCTGAGAACATATAGCCAATTATTGGAGCACTCATATAGCCAATTATTGGAGCACTCATCCCCTTTGGTTGCTCTAACAAAATGGTTCCTTCCACTGAAACAAAGAAAGTAATAGGACAACAGTAAAAGATCTATGGAATTCAGCGTTGGTACTTATTGCTGGTTACCTGTATGAGATGGTAAATCATAAATGTGGCGATTCCAGCTCGTCTCCACTCTGGATGGACAAACAGAAATGAAATGTATGCCTCATTATACTTCACATCGGGCACCATGAAGCCAAAGGCAATGATGACCTTCTTATAGAGAACCACCACACTGAAATCTGGATACTGGAGACATTCGGAGACATCAATGCCTGGACATAAGAAACAAATGTCACACTGTCACCTCATTACTGACTTCAAAACAGACAAAAATATACATGTCACTCTTTACATATCCATACAAGTCTGTTAATTCCTCTGTGTGACCCAGCACTCTGTATGATATAATAATGTGGGTGCTAACCTTCCTAACAGACCTGTCAGCAGAACAGAAACTCTTCCTTCCTCTCCTATACATGAAATATCATGGCAAGAGCGATCACACTAAACTGAATGTGATCACTAGTTTAGATCACAGCTCTGGTATCTGCAAAGCACATCTGTGTTTTATGGAACTGGACTAAGCTTTCAGCATACAGACCACTGCTCTCTTCACCAACAGATGGATCAGATATTAAACTTATTTAATGGACACCCGGCATGAGAGAAATACAGAGGCTGCCTTTCCTTACCTCCTTATGGAAATATTAGTTGTCTGAATGGGTTAAATAAAATGTGTGTCCTGCTAACATTTTTATTTTTTTAGTATTTAATAGAGTGGCAACGGATTAAAAGCCCTTCCATGTTTTCACAGCTATCGGGGGCTCTGTTAGAGAGATTTCCCTTCACTTCCTGTTTTGGTGACAACCATTGCACCACACAGGAAATCTCTCAAAGAAGAGTAGGGAAGGCTAACTCGCCTGCCATCTTTTTTGCTGCCTTTATACCTGTTGCAGATTTTCCCTCAATTCCTCTTTGGGGAAACCAATTTCACCGGAACAGAAACAGAGGGGAAAATCTCTCCAACAGATATAGCAGTAAAAACCCCAAAATAGGTTTTAATCCTTCCCACTCGTTCTAAAACAATGCTTTGGCTGGGCATATACACCTCAATTACCAATTATTTGTTAGTCATGCAAGATATGTACATCTTTCCTTGTGTACTGGACCAGTAAAACAGACTCTTCAACTTGTCACCTTACCTGGCCAGAAAAATTGCTGACATATGGAGTTAATGGTGGGAATGTGGCAAGGACGGACATAGCAATAGTCTATAGGCGATGCTTGTTCTGGCACCAAGTCAGGATCACTTCTATGGGCCCGTGCTCGGATCTCAGACAACAGCTGCAGCCTGTAAGGTCTGGTTTCATAGTCACGCCTAGAAAATAAAAGAAGAATGACCTGTTAGGAAAGATTTTCACCACTTGTGGAGTCAGTAAGAGCCTAGACCGCTGGACACATAGTTATTTTACCTGCCTTTTCACAAGCATGTTCGATTACAGAAAGAATAAGAATTTACTGTTCTTGGAGTCCAACGAGGGACACCGTAAGCACTTCACCTGCTGTCTACAAGAGGATTGGACAACGGCAAATAAAATCACTGTACACCAGCCCAGGACAACCCTTTCCACTACCAGCATGCCTCCGATTTGTATACAAGAGCATGATTATAAACACAAAGGGCTGGGACCTCTGTGCTTTAATGGACTCCAAGAGAAGGATTTTTACTGTGAGTACTAAAATCTTATTTTCATTCTCATCTATTGAGGGACACAGGAAGTCGTTAACCCGCAGAAAGTCCAAAAGCAGTCCAACTGAGGGGTGGTCAACCCAGCAAACAAACGCTAAAAAGCCCAAGAAAACATCAGAGAACTGGGGACTTCCTGCAGCTCAAAGAGTAGACTGAAGGACTTTACACCTGCAGCTAGCATCAGATAAGGCCACAACATCTACCTGGCAAAATTTAGAGAACAGAAGCTCAGGTTGCAGCCTTGCAAATTTAGCAAACAGTTGCTTGATGCTGGAAAGCTCAAGAAGTACCTACAGATTAAGTAGAGTGTATCTTAGCAGGAAAGGATGGAACCTTATACTTGAGACCATATTCTTGGATAATGGTCTGTCTGAACCACCTAAAGACGGAGGAATAAGGAGCTGGTGCACCCTTACGGCAACTACAAAAAATAAACCAGTCTTCTTGAAAGAAGCAGTGGCTGAGAGATAGACTTCACAGCCCAAACCACATCAAGACAATGGAAGGAAATGTTCTATTGGTTAATTGGAGCCGGAGAGAGGAACAGAAAGACAATATCCCGATAGAGGTGAAAGGCAGAAACTACCGTAGGCAAGAAAAAAGTCCTGGGCCTCAACACATTATCGTTATGCAGAACTGAAAAGAGTCCCTTGAAGGATAAGGCTCCCAGTTCAGACACAGTGAACCAGATTCAGATCCCAAGGGAAATGGATAGTGGGAGCTACAAGGGAGACCCCCTGTACAAAGGTGAAAGAGAGAAGCCATTGGTCTCTTAAACAGAAACCTGACCCTTAATAGTAATGAGCCAGACACTGGTCCAGACCAAGTTGCAGGAAGGTCAGAATTCCTCCCGCATAAAAATTCTTAAAGCTCTGAGACTCACACCAAGTAAAGTATGCCTTCTATGTCCAATGATAGACCTTGCAAGAATTAGACTTTCTAGCTTTTATCTGTAGAAATCACAGACTCAGATATGCCCCTATCTCTCACAATCTGGGCATAACAGTGAGGCTGTTAAAGCTAGTGACCATGAAGCAGGATGGCAAAGATGTAGTAGAGCCCACAAAGCATCTGCCAGGAGACTTACCAGGTATGCATACCACATCCGCCTGGGCCAGTTCACAGCATTGAGGGTCACTAGAATGTTCTCAGGGTGTACTGAGCCCACAGAGTCACCACAGCATTCACTGCTTCCACTACAGGATCCCTGTACCTGGAGACATACCTGTCCACTTTGTTGTTGAACCCAGAGGCCAGGAGGTCTACAGTATATCTGGTATTCCCACCTGCGACACCAGTCATCAAACAGGTGTAGGGACCACTCTCCCAGGTCCAGGCACTGCTGGATGAGGAAGTCTGTCAACTGCCCACACCTGGAATATATATGGCTGACAAGGCTGGAAAGTGAAGTTCTGCCCAGGAAAGAATCCAATCTACCTCTCTTGCTGTAGTGAGACTTCTGGTTCATCCCCGTTTGATGTATGACACCACTGTTCTCCGAATGAATCTGGATTGAAAGGGTCAAAATGAGCACCAAGTTCTAGGATGTTGCTCTGGAGATGAGACTCTGACAACCAAACCCCCTGTACTGACATGGTGCACAGGACCCCTGCCTGAAAGGCTGGTCTCTGTTGTGAGAATCCTTCAAAAGATGTGAAGGAAGGACGTGTCTAACTTTAGAGCCAGATTTCTAAGCCACCAGGCCAGGGACAACCTTGTCCTCGATGATGGACTTGTTCCACGATGACAGACTGTTGCACTGTAGAGGTCTGGAGTGAAACTGGGCAACCAAGACTGCAACAATAAGACCTAAGACTCTCATGCAAAAGCAGAGTTGGATAGCTCCTGGACTGGAGAGAGCAAACCTTAATTCAGACTGTCATAATGAGGTTGGAGGTGAAAAACTTGAAAGGGTGAGGGAGGGAGGCAACAGTTTGTAGCCTTGGGAAACCACCTCCTGCACTCAATCTGAAATGCACACTGTCCAAGCATTCGGCAAAGATTACTAAATGTTCCCCCAACTCAGGAAATTGGGGACAAACCTTAATGTAGAAGGTGATTTGTCGGAACCCAGACTTTGAGCGCTAGGACTTGCAGGTGGATGGAGAGCCAAGTCTGGGGGGGTAGTTTCGACCTGTAGATAGTGGAGTAGAGAAACGAAAGGAGCCAAAAAAAGTAGAGAAATGAAAAGAGCATGCACACGGGACTTACTTCATCTCAGCACAGGACCTTCCTGAGATTGTGCACTGAGCTGCCGATGCGTGGCTTAGTGCACACATATACTGACAGGCAGAGAGGAGCATAAAAGCCCTACCTGTCACCCTTTTATAAAACTATTTTATGTCTGCTTTAAGAATCTAATAAACCAGGTGCAGACTCTCACACCACACCAATAATATCTTATTTTACTTGAACAACTTGCATACAATCCTGTTGCAATAAAAAGGGTAAAAAAGGGCAATGACAAAAATAGCAAAAGATGCAGTAACCCACAGCAGCCAATCGGCTTTTGGATTACTAAAGTCACATTAGCAAAGAGAAGATCTCTTCCTGGCTGAAATAAATTACTGCCCTAAAAGTTTATTCTTCTCTGGAAAATAAAAACAGAAAAAATCTATTCAGAAAAGACTTGCTAGAAACATTACAACCATTAGGCATGCAGCATTTCCTCTATGCACAGCCTGGGAGCAATATCTACCAAACATATATAACAGGCAGCAGAGGAAATACACAAAACACAGGTTAGGCCATAAACAATCTTTATTACACTTTGTAGCACGTAGAGATTGTACTTCTGTGGGAAGGAAATAAACAGGCAAACAAAAGCAGATTTATTTGGCCGTTACAACATGCTTCTTATATTATTTTTTAAAGCATATTGGCTTTTATAAAGACAGGTGTCTGTACAGGTCAGGGAAACACTGACAGGCTTATTCATTAAAGCAATGCTAAGAGCAACAAGGAAGTGCAAAAAACTGTAAACACTGTAACCAGAATTCCGTTCACTGAAGTTGTATCAGTGAAACATGAAATATGGTTGCTACAGGTTATGGTTCTTGACCCATGTGCTTCAACTTACTGGACAAAGGCAGTATAATTTTCAGTTTACTTCTATCTATACAAAACCAGCATTTATTGACTGAATGTATTAGGTTCTTTCTAAGAGAAGGGTGGCCATTTATATGTATTATCCATTATATCAGGAAACAGCTATTTAAGAGGAAATAGATGGTGGTTGGAAATGCAAGAACTACACGTCCATCAAACATTTTTCTAAAAAAGTATATTTTTGATCAGATAGCCCAACCATGCATGCTATTGCCTATGGGAAAGGGGAGATGGCTAAGCACTTCCAGTATCGGCTAATCCTGGAGGGGCAGTGGGATAGTACTTCCCCCAAAAAAAATACAACTGATCAATCATGGTCAGCTAGGGGGTTTCAATGCTGTATTCTGCTTCTCATAGACATAATCAGTGGTTTATGTCTATGAGAAGCTCCTCCCCCATTGCCCTGCTCGGCCTCCTGAGACAGGCAAGGCAAGATGGAGAGCAAACTACAGTCAGAAATCAGGACTGATCACTGAGTGTTTGGAAATGACAGAGGACATAGTGTGCTTACTGTGTTCCCAGTTATGAATGGACAGGAAGTGTTCTGCATTACTTTCTGTTCATTCATGATTGTGGACATAGTAAAGGATAGCATCTCCTCAATTTATGAATGGACAGGAGCACTCAATATAGAGGCTTCCTGTGTCCTCAATCTCTTTTTCTATTTTAACCCCTTCATGACATATCATTTTTATTTTACACTTTTTTTTTTACAAAGTGTAAAAAAAATTAAATAAAAACTTTTTTTTTCTTGTCAGTTTACATCAAGCATTCACTATGACTGCTTGATAAATTAACTTTTTTTTTTTGGCTATTAGGCTGCTCCAAACTTAGGAACAGCTCTTTGATCGTGCGTAGACGATCAGAACTGATACATTTCACTAAAAAGATATACATTGTATCTTTTTAGTGAAATGTATCTAAACATCGGCTCTTGAGCTGTCAAAACAAATAGCAGAGAGGTGAGTCACTGCTACCTCTCTGCTATTTTCAGCTGTCAAATACAGGATCACAAATTGCGGTCCTGTATTTGCATGTAACGGCTTAATTTTTTCATTAATAAAAGGAAGAAGCTTTTACAAAAAGCTTAATTATTTCATTAATGAATGACTCAATACTGAGGCATTCATTATTGACTGGTAAATGCTGAGAATCAGCTGTTACCAGCATTACAAAGCCTGATCTAACTCGTCAAGTACAGTGTACGTGGCCAGTCATATAAGCACAAAGTGTCGGGACGTACAGTGTACGTCTCCCGTCATGAAGGGGTTAAAAGAAAATATAAGGGGTCTGTTTAGACCCCTGATATTTCCCCAAAGACTAACAATAAACTAAAAAACATTTTTAATAAAAAATATTAATAATTTTAAAAAGGTTGGGGGAAAAAAAACATTTTCGATCT